TTTTTTTTTTTTGTGAATGTTTTAGGTTCTCTTTTGCTTCTCAGCTTTTGTCTACAGTTCATTGGTTATTATCTAAATTGTACTTAATCTGAGCCATTTAGTTATTAATATTCAGATTAGCTGCAAAAGGGATTGAAGATAACTTGGAAGTATGTGTTCAATGCAGGGCTGCAATTAATTAAAAACAAGGCAAAGAGGACCAGAAAAAGCAGAAAAGCTAGACGGAGCCAGTAGTTGAGTCAATCTTTTATTTTTAAGTGTTTTATTCTTAAGCAAATGCATGTTTTGCATTTGCTGGGCATTGGCCACAAACTTGGCTGTATGCTCTCCCGTAGTACATGTTAACAAGTAAATACATTATGCTAGACTACAAGAACAACAACACTGTGAGGGAAAACAGGCCACGTACTTAGGAGATGCAGTAGCATTCCTAACCCTGATATTAATTCCCAAGAAAGGCTTTTTCTGCATGTCCTCATGAGAAAGACTGGAAATACACTCTCTCCCTCCCTCCTTCCCTCCCTCTCTCTCATCAGCAATACAATGCAGCTTATTTCACAAGTCATCTTGATGATTGCAGGCTAGTTTTTGGAGGATTTATGTAATTTTGTTAAATAGTATCCATTTCTGATTAGTTTAAAACAAGAAGGAATGCAGCAAGAGAGCGATGTCAAGGAAAAGAATATTTTTATTGATCTTCAAAGCAGTTTCACTTTTAGGCTGGGGATTTAGCTCAGTGGTTCTGGTGACTGCCTCACAAGCGTAAGGACTTGAGTTTCGATCTCCAGTACCAAAAAAAAAAAGTTTCATTTTTGTGTGAGGAAAAATGCTTCAGTGTGTTTTTACTTCCAGCAGTTTCACTGGTTAAAAATACTTTGTAACCATACTTGAGGTGGTGGGTGAAACACACCCAAAAGCTATTATCAAGACTTCAGAGGACGCTGCTTTGAGCTGCTGAAAGGATGTTGGTCCGTCCATTTCGACACTGCGCTCAGGGGAGCGTGCTGTTCAACCCATGCGGCAATGATCTGGTAACCTCAGACCCGCAGCTGTGTTTGAGACGCCAGAGTGAAATTATAGAGAAAAGGAAAATTCCGCTGCAGGAGCTGGGGAATAATCGAAAATACCATTTTGTGTGTACCTTTTATGGATTTCTGATGGAGGAAAAGAAAGTTTTTGACATGAAAATATTTGTAGCTGATTGGGCACTGTATTTTTATAGGATAATAGATTCAGAAATTTGCAGGGATCATCAGGGTTATTCAGTTCAGTTCTCTATTACAAGTTTAAAATCCCGTGAAATGTCTCCCTCAAGAAAGAAGCAGCCGATATTTGCATGGAAGATTATTAGCGCGGTGGTTAAGAGAGCCAGTTATGACCTCGGAGGGCCTGCATTGGAGTCCCAGACTTTCTGGTTACCATCGTGTGAACTTGGGCAAGGTCCTTCATGTCTTAGACATGATGGAGACATGTATACTATGCAAACATTGCATATAAGAAAGCTACTGCAGTTACATTAAGGTAAAGGTAAATTTTAAACAAGGACACTGCCTGAAATGAAATGAAAGATTTTTGTAAAAATAAAAACATCAATTCATTAAGTTGGCATAATCCTAAGTATGTTGGTGTCTAATGATAAGAAATGCATATTTGCTCAACATCTGTCCAGTAATTCCTTCAGAAAAAGATTTGTCTCTGTTAGGTGGATGTTGTGATATGTTTACTTGAGTGGTATATAGCCTACTTGATGCTTCAGAGAAGCAAGTAAAAATACTCAGGACAAAGAAATGAGATCACCAATCCTCTCCATTTATCTGGAACTGAACTATTTCTTTGGACATAGGACTTAGTGCAAAAATCTGGACTGTCCCCAAACAGACAAGTCCAGGCAGACTGTGATAGTTACTCATCCTACAAAGAGAGGAATTCACTTTCCTTGGAAATGGAGAGTAAAAGGAGGAGAAGAAAATGTGGATAGTCATAAGATGATAGGAGATTGTATAGTGAGTGAATGAGCCCTTTCAACGATTCCTCATACCATAAGTAAAGTTGCTGCACTCAAAAAAGTGTGAGTTATAAAGTGTGTGTGTGTGTGTGTGTGTGTGTGTGAGAGAGAGGAGAGAGAGAGAGAGAGAGAGAGAGAGAGAGAGAAGCTAACAATGGAAGAAAATACCAGCTATCATGGACATGGTATTCGTGGATCAAGGACAAATTCTTTGGGAATTTGTGGCAGTCGTAGGAATGGTTTTGGATCATCATAGGTAGTGGAACAGGAAATGTGTGTCAAGATTAGGTACATTGAGGGTGAAAAGGCTGCAGTTACATGTGGGTATTATAATTGTGTTCGTTAAAAATGAACTCATTTGATTTCGGATGAGAGAAAAGCTGCCTCTAAACTGAATCACGAACTTGAAGGAACGTGTTCACTTGTACAACTGGAAGATGCAGAGGTAAGGAGAGCCGCAGGCGTCATTCAGCGCAGAAGCGACCGCAACATCTAGGCTTGGACCCATTTCTCACAGATATCTCAGCTGCCCTCTTCCTGGAGATAGTCCACCCTCACGCTGATTCCCTCCCAGCAGCAGCAATGACCACAGCAGTGTTAGGACTCACGCTCTCACACAACGTTGTGGTCAACAAACTTTCTTGGGTTTTTTGTTTTGTTTTGTTTTGTTTTTCTTTTGGGTTTTTTTTGGTTTTTTTTTTTTTTTTTTTTTTTTTAGTCAAAGACCAGACAAAAACATTTTAGGTTTTACATCTCTGTTGCAACTCTATCGAAAGGCAGCTCTAGTCGGTAGCTGCAAAAAGCATGCCTGTCTTCTGACAGAACTTGGCATTTTGAATATCATATAAATTTTATATATTGTGAAATATCGCTCTTTGGGACTTTTCTCCAAACCATTTAAAAATGCAGGGTCCTTCCTAGTTTAAGGACTGAACAAAAGCAAGTAGGGCGCCAGATTTGACCCACGTCGTTTGTTGACTTGATTTTGAAAGACTGAAGCTTTAAGCGAACAGTGACATACTCCTCCTCCCTGGCATTTCTTCTGTTCCCTTCTTCGCCCTCATGGAAGGCGACCCCACCCAACAGCCCTTCCATGCCAAAATTCTTGAAGTCTTTGGCTCCAACTCAGAGTGCTCCCTTAACCCCTGACCTCTACAGCTTCTGCAGGCCTGACGTCGCCACACAGAGATGTAAAAGCAGTCTAAGTTAGCAGAGTCCAAGCCTGGAAAGATGCTGTGCTTCGGGAGAGCGGGTCAGACTCCAGGCTGCAGGCAGAGGCGCCGTAGCAGCCCATGGACTTGGTGCCGAGGCACAGGACGATGCTTCCGCGTTTGTGGCACGTTTGAAGTGCGTGTAGGGGAGTCGGCCAGTGTTCTGATGGCCGTTTCCTCCTCTAGGAAAGAACAAAACAGAAATCAATCAAAATGTGACATCAAACTGAGGAACGTTTTCAGCAGTATCTACCAGCCTGTGGAAATGTGAGAAGAAAGAGTTAGGAGTCAATATTTTGTTGCCCGGAAGGTTCCTGTCCAGACCGGGACCCTGCCCCACCCGAGCACTTAGGTTGTGTCCAAATTGTCTGGAAATTGCTCTGGATTTTCGCTCTCATTCCACGGGCCTCCTACAGCTTCAAAGGTGTTTCCACTCCTTGCCAGGCAATTTAACTTCCTTCCCTGTTGTTCACAGGCCTGTGCCTCTCTGTGGCTTCCTCTTAGTTTGTCCAGATGATCTATTTCCTTATTTGCTTTGGCTTTCCCGTACTCTCCTGTGTTTTGAAAAGAATAAAATTTTCAGGTAAATGCAAACTGCACTCTGATAAAAATGAGTATGAGTTATTTTGTCCTATATTTCTTCTGTGTGTGTGTGTGCGCGTGTGTGTGATTGAACACAGGGCCTTCACACTCAGCTAAATCTCCAGTCCTTTTCTGTATTTTTATCTCTATATAGGATCTCACTGTCAGTAAATTACCCAAGTGGGGCTCAGACTTTTTTAATCTTTCTGCTTCAGCCTTCCAGAGTGCTGGGATTATAGGCATGTGCCACCACGCCTGGCTCAACTTTTTTGAGCATTGCTATGTAGTAGACACAGTTCCTGGCTCTGCACACACAAAAATCTCTAAAAGATGCTCATAATATGGTAAGGGTAAGTGAAATGTAAATTTACAATTCAAAATACACCAGTATGGATGTTAGAATGAAGTCTAAACAAAATGTTTCAGGAAGAGAGATATAGCAAAGGTTCACAGAGATGATGCGGCCACTGTATCAGGAGAAGAAAAAATGGAAAGGGTGAGAAGAGGTGAAAACGAGAATCTCTAGTCCATAATATTTTTTACCTGAGTCACAAGATGATTACTCCCTGAAAGAAGTATTGAGAAGATGTATTGGGCAGAGGTAATGCCTAATGAGACCATAAATGAGGAGAATTGCTTCTCATAGCATACAAAACGATAATTTTTAGCAGATAATGAAATTGTTTTCAGTCTTTGGAATGAAAATGAATCCCTTGCTAATGCAGATCAGGCTAATAAAGGGAGTGAGAGAAAATGTCGAAATTACGCTTGGCTCGCGGGAGGCAGAAACCCACCTAAATAGTGTAGGAAAAAAAATGAAAGATAATGAAGTAATCAAAATAATTGCTTAATAGGGAATGTGAAAGATCTTCAGTGCTAAATTATAAACTTACATTTTCAAGAAAAATGAAGTGACCTTAAGGAACAGATTAGAAACCTAAACTCATGCCAGCCAGAAGCAATGCTTTTCATTAGTGGAGCTGAAGATTAATTAAATCTGGGGAAGCCCTTTGAAATCCACAAGTGCGAGTTACATTAGAATACAATACAACTGGTATATTGGTATCATAATTAATGATTCAAATAGAGCTCTTTATTAAATGTCTTCTGCCATCGTTCATGTGACGGACGTGAAAATGAAGAAAGCCAAAGTATGTTACTTAAAACCAAAATTGATTCTAGCAACATCTGATTTTCAGTCAGGGAGAGTGTCATTTATTTAGAAGGTGCACACCTGATAGTTCCCAGCCCCTCTGAGGTTGCCAAGAGACCCATCTCCAGTTTGCTGGGGTACTGTGTCCCCAAAACCTCTCCAGCGACCTAGTGAGGGGTATGGAGGGAGCAGCTGATCGATGACATTTTTGTGGTTGTTGTTATCTCTGAATCTTTTGTTTCAGCTGAATGATTTCAGAGATTGGTAGCAGAGAAAGGAGGCTGAAATTACAGAGCCGCTGACTGTTCCAGTGCTGTTCAAGGGTGACGCTTTGGGGGAAAACGGTCATTGTTGACAGAGCGTGTTAAGTACAGGTGAATGGAAGCCCAGCAGGTTATGATCCCAACTGTTTTACAGGGCAAGAGAAAGAAAAATTCGTTCCTTAGGGAGACAATGGAAAGGGAGAAAGGGGAAAGGAAGAGTCCAGAGAGGAACAGGGTAAGAAGCAAGAGAGGCCAAAAGCCCCCTCCTCTGCTCTACACACGTTTGCTGGGTGAAACAGACGTCAGTGAGGAAATCGAGGAAAGGCGCATCTAGGATGAGCCCGACAGAGGAAGATGTTGCAGAAACTGAACAGATCTGGAGCCATTGGAGCTGAATCAAAGGTAATATAATGACTCACACCCACATTGCATTCCCAAGCTGTCAGAATTACCCAGGTCGTGGACAGAAACCGAACTGGTGTAGAGGGCAGGAACGCTGTTGTTCTGAACAGAGCTGAGCCTCCTGTGAGCCTCTTTAACGATGGTGGTACTTACCTAACACTGCGTGCTGAAATATGGTTTCCGCTTTTAGCTTGGCTGTTACTTTGGGACAGGAAGCTTTAAATTTGAGTTGGGTTTATGCTCTGCAGACTTTAAACCATTTAAAGGTGCTGCTCTTAGCCACACGGCAGAGATACTTGTGAATTTTGGGGGAACAAATGCTTTGTATTACCTTACAAAATCACAGCTTCAAAAGATTCTATTCTGTGAATTCTTGCGGGAGAGAGAACTAGACACATATATAATTTTTAATTTGTTTTTTAAAATGCAATAAAAAGTTATACTCTGACAACTTGGATGGAAATTTGCATAGCAATTTCATTTGTTTAAATATTTTATTTTTCTCATTATGCCCCTGTCTCTTGAATCCTCCAAAAGACATGGTTTACAACCTGTTATTTTTCTCCAAGTGCTCCCTTTGGATGATTTCTTGTTGAATCTCCCTTTCCCACTGTGGCTATTTTCTTGCCGGGATCTTCGTATTGTTTTTCAGTTGCTTTCAATATATGAACTAGTCCCATCTGGGGAGTTGAGATTCAGTTCTAAGTATTATGAGGCTCAGTCCAGTATAAATCAAAATTTCGACCTAACATCCAATTCAAAGATTCTTCTCCCTGACCCTCCAAAGACACCTGTAGCCTGCAGTGAAGGAGAGGCAGGGCTTACGTTCTCAGCAATTCTCATTGTTTCCTCTGCCACTTCTAGATATTTCTCACTTCTTGCACGGAGGGGGCAGAAAGAAGGTTAGTGAGTCAAGAGTAAAAACCACATCCTTACAGCTCGCCTGGGTGCTGTGTGTGGCAGATCCCTGCAATGACCTTGCACTGTCCCACATCACACTTCTTGGCATCCACCAACCAATAGGAAACAAAAGCAAGGAGGGACCAGGGACAAATATAGATACCACTCCTCCATCTCTTCCATACAGAGGTGTTCTTTCTCTGGATAGTCACCCTGAGAAGTCCTAAGCGCACAACATTTGCTGAGAAAACCTACATCCCTCTGCAAGGCTCGTCATGGTGGAGTGGCCAGTGTGATGACACATTCCACATCTTTTCTTGCTTCACTCGAGTTCTTTCACACTTGTGTGCCCTCGGATCATACATGTCTGCCCCCTCCACAAAGAATCAGCACTGGTTTCTTGCCTTAGGCTCTGTTGTCTAGGAAACTGACACTGAGACAACTTTCAAACTAATACCAGATACAGAGGTAAGAAAGAGCCTGTTGAAGATGGAGTATAATATTCTTATAAAATTCTCAGAAAATTGTGCTGTGAGGGGACCCAAAGCAAATTGGCATGTGGCTTTTTATGTTGGCCTTTTGGGGCAGTGGTAACAAAATACCATAAAGAGGGTAGCTTATAAATAATAGAAATTTGTTTTTCATAGTCCTGCAGGATAGGAGGTATAAGTGAAGGTGTTGGCACATTTAATATCTGGTAAAGACCTGCTCTCTGGTTCATAGATGGAACCTTTGAGCTCTGTCCCTCACGTAGTGGAAGAGACTTACTAGCTTTCTAGGATTTCTTTATAAGGATTTCTTTCAATCGTGTAGGCTCTGTCTTTAGGATCTAATCACCTCCCAGTAGCCCCAACTCCTAGAACTATCATCACCTTCAGGGTTAAGATTTCCGCATACACATTTGTGTCTCACAGTGTGAAAGAATGAAATCGCAGACTGAAGAGGCAGGAGTTACAAGCAGGGAAGTTTATTGAGGAGGCAAAAGCAGGCAAAAGGGAAAGCTCTTACTAACAGAAGGAACCTGAGAGAGGGTTGTGAGAGAGAACTCTTTCTTTGGGGGCTTTTACAGCATTTGTCATCTATGGCTTCCTTTCCTATGAGGAAACAATCATTCCTTCAAGGCCCGGTAATGAAGACCATCTCGCATTGTCCACACATTCCTTGGCCAGTTCCCAACTTGGTCACATTCTGAGGCAGCCTTGCATGGCGCAAGAGTTCTCTTATTGTCCATCTTGTAATTCCTTCTTCAACAGTTTAGATCTTTTGCCCACATTTGCTGCTTTGTGCTGGCCTGCCCTGTTTATCTTTGACCCTTTTTGTGCACCTGTGTCCCACTGGTCGATCTTCTATCTCAGTAAGGGGGCTGGGGCTGGGAGCTGCAGAGGACTCTGAAGCCGAGGACTGATGGGATATATGTGTACTTCAAGTTGCCCTGGCTGCAACAGGGGTGTTGGATTGAAAGTGGGCAGGGAAGATGGGGTAATGATTGTGAACATTCACTAGGGCTGTGGTCCTGGTGTTACTTTTTATGATAGAGTGCAAGTAGCCAACAATTATGTGGTCCAATCATCTTATTTCTTATTACTAACTCAAAGATACCATTTCTCTTTAAGATTTTTATTGGAAAGGCTTAAGGAGCACAATGAAGGGTTCCAAATTCAGCTACCTGTGACCAAATGAGGCTTTGTGGGGACATCCAGACACAAGCCATAAGATGCTCCAACTACAGCTCCTCCATTCATTCTGTTCTCCCCTCAAGGAACTCCTGTTACATAGTTTTGGTTCTTTCCCTTTATTCCCTTTCTTCGTTTTCAGTCTTTTTGTCCTCCTCCAGGCTCCGTACTGTATAGTGTCTTTAATTTATCACTCACTCTATCAAGTCTGCTGCTTAACCTATCCATAGAAAATTTTATTTCAAAGGTAACATTTTTTTCTAGAATTTTTTTCTAGCACTCTCTCTCTCTCTCTGTATGTGTGTATGTGTGTTAATTTGGATTTCCATTTTGAGTAGGATTGTATTAAAAGTTTATTTCTGTAAATCCTGAGTAAATCCCTGGCCTGGGCTAAGACTGTCTTTCCAGAGGGGATTTTGCATTTTCCAGGAACCTCTCCCTGGGAGCAATTATTTTGACAATTTTTCAGTGTCAGAGTAACAGACCCTGCAAGTAAAGGGCAGGGCCATGGTAACATATTCTCAAAGAAGACTTCCCTTCTTTTTAACCTGTGTTAATGAGCAGTTATCGTCTACTCTAATATTTTATGAAAGATGAAATCTGTATTAGTTCTCTATCACTGCTGTAAAAAAAAGCACCACAAAATGTTTAGTTTCAAATATCACAAATTTGAGAGAAAGGAAGAGGAGGGAAAAGAGAGAAGGAGAGAGAGAAATAGAAAGGAAGGGAGGGAGAGAGGAAGAAAGGACGGTAGGAAGGAGATCCCCAGAGGAAAACAAACAAACAAGTTTATGATTTCAAATTCTATAGTTCAGATATTCAATGGGTGGTCTCACTGGGTGTCTAGATGCCTAGAGGCTCTGGGGCGGATTTGTTTGTTGACCTGGTCTAGCTTCTAGAGACTCCTCTGCTTCTTGGCTGGTGGCTCTATGACTGGAGTTAGGTGAGAGCCCCATCTCTGGGGAGTCTCAGTGGACTAGGCTCAGCCAGAAGTCCCAGAAATTCAGTCGGAGAAAACAGTAGTAGAGGTAGGAAAGGAGCTTTATGTGGCTACACAGGGATGGACAGAGCTCTGGTAATCTAAGACCTGTCCTCAGAAGTGCTTACAGCATTCACAGGTTCATGTAGGAAAAAGGAAGAAAGGCAAGGGTTGGGGTTTCCATGGTTTGGAGTCGGGGTCTTTGTGATGTGATTGTGGTCTGGTGATCATTACCTCAGGCCAGGTCAGAGCTTTGTTGGCATCAAAAAAGTCACTGTTTCTTTGGGAGTAGTTTTGGTTCTTTGTCATAAAATGCTCTTCAATCAGACATGTTTCTGGGATCCACAGTGACTATAGAAATAATGATGCAAGAGAACTCAGAAGGGGAAAAAAATGTCAACAGGTAAAATGGCGTCCGAGACACAAAATGGCTTTAGATCAGAAACTAGACCCCCTTCTATTAACACCTTTTCATCTTGAAAGCCAGCAATGATGGGTTAAGTCTTTCTCACGTCACATTACTCTGACCTCTTTTGCCTTCTTCTTCCACCTTTAAGTGAACCTTTGTGGTGACATTGGGACCACAGGAATAGCCAAGGATAATCTCATTATTGCCTGATCGGCTAACTAGTGACCTTATTCCATCTGCCACCTTAATTCCTCTTTGCCACGCGTGGTAACATAGTGGTCGGATATGTATCCCCTAGGGAGCCATTGTCCTGCTTCCCACACAGTCTTTTGAGGATCTCAGATGTGTGTAAGGGTCTCTGCTCTAACTTGCAAACCTTTGTAGTTCCGGGCCTTAAAACTTATGATCCAAAGCGTTACAAGACCCACAACTTCAGCCCATCTAGGAAAGCTACAGGACTGACCCATATGCTTTTTCTCTTGGATTTCTTTTCTCTCTTTCATTGGGGATTTCTTATTCTTTCTTACAAGCTCAGCTGCAATTTAAAGGCATACCTGGAATTTCTAGGAGCTTATAGTGTGAGAATTTGGGACTTGTGTAGCTAACAGCCAGAAAATTAGATCTCTATTGTAATTACATTTGTTCAACGAATGTGACTAGAAGCACATAAACATAGCAGGTCCTTCTAATGTCAATAGCTTTTCTCTTGATGTGAGTGAAGATGGTATGACTTGAGGGATGGATACTGTACTGTTTCCTCCTCTCCAGTTCTAATACTTGTAAGTTACAAATCAAGCTGTGATTTTTCCCCCACCAAAATATATTCTGTCCTCCTAAGCTAACAAATACAGGTTCATAATGGAGGATAGACGATACCATAGGGCTCTCAAATTCCTTGGGTTCAGCACAGGAATTGGGTTGCTTGCGGAGAGATGACCTCCAGCAGTGGCCGGTCTCCTTTCTCTTTCTTCCTCCCTTCTTTCCAGCCTTGAGAGAGACTTGTGCATGTTCAGGTGGACCTGTCCCACCTTCCACTGTCAAGATCAGGCCAATCCTTTGACCCACGTTTAGCTTCTCAGATCTCAGTTGTGTACACTAATAGCAAGCCTGGCTTGAGCAGGAGGACCTTGAAAAGAATCCTATGAAAGTCCTGGACGTGGGCCACAGGCAGAGAATTCCAGAGTTTTGGGTACCTGAATTTAAAGGGAGGAACATGGGCACAAACAAGCCTGTCCTCTTAGACCTATGGACCCTATGGAGAAGGGACCAGAATGCATATCATTTCCTGGTCCTCAGGGTGTTCCTACAATCAGCTGCTGAAGTATCCCACTTCTACTTGTAAGTTCCAATGGTTCCAAATTGTTTTTCATTTGGGATATTTTCATAGCTTCCTAACCTGGTCAACAGATGTTGCTTCTGGTCATGACATCAGAGGACCAGCTTCTAAATCCTAAATCTATTATTTATTACCTGTGAAACTCTGTAGATGTCACTTAACATTTTTTGAAACTCCATTTGCCCAGCAAAGCTACTTCCAAATCCCTGATGCACAGAAATCTTGAGAGATAAATGTTTATTGTTGCTCTAAGCTGCTAAGCCATTACATCTTGGAATAATTTGTTGTACAGAAATAGATAACTAATACATATCTCACCACCCACTCCTGCTTTTCAAATCATGGTGTAATATCCATTGTTCCAGAGAGACTTTCTGAAACCTAACAAGAAACAAAAACAATGGTAGAAGTGATTAACTGGAAACATTTTCAATACATTATACTCATTCTCTTATTGGTTCATCAAAGTCTAAGCACAAGATTTTAATTTGAGATAAGGAATAAAGAAGCAATAAAAGTGACCAAACAGCACATGCCCTGTCAGGTCCCTCTAATATCAATGGCTTTTCTCCGGGTATGGGTGAAGATTGTATGACTTGCGAGACAGAAACAGTACTGTGTCCTCTACTCCAGCTCTAACCTCATTGCTGGGTGCATCCCCAGAAACTCATGTCCTGAAAGTCTAATCTCCAAAATGATGATAGTGGTGACCTTTGAAAGGTGGTTGGGTCATGGAGGCTCTGCCCTGAGGAATGGATTCATACCTTAATGAATGAATGGATTAGTGTGATGTTTGCTACAGGTGTGATTTTGTTTGTTTTATGGAAGCTCTCTTTGGCTCATGTCGTGCCAAATGATGCCTTGTGCTTTTATAATGATCAAGAAATGTCTCTCTAGATGCCTTGCAGATACCTGTACCATGCTTCTGAACTCCCCAGATCCCAGAACCTTGAGCTAAATAAACCTCTTGATGAACCACTCAATACATGGTATTTTTAACAACCACCACCACCACCACTAAAATAAAGACAACTGTCTTACCAAACAGTAATGTAGTTATAACACTTTAGAAGGCAATCACCAAGCAACTGAGGTCTTAATTCTTCCTGACCTTCCTGTGGTGATATCGAGGAGTAAGCTGGTTCAGTAGGTCAAGCTTTCTATTTAAGGCTAGGAGTATGAGATTCAAACTGCCTGTAGAAACTGGCCAATGGGTAAACTAGTCATGAGCATAATTGTATTTTACAATGTAGAGAGTATTAATTTGCTATCTGCCTATTTTGAGTCCTTGTTTCTGTCTCCTTCAGTTTTGTCTTTTGTTCATTCTTTTTGATGATTTATTCATTCAGTATATATTTATGAAGTATCCTCTGTGGGCTAACTTCAGCACAAGTTAAATAAGACATTGGCCCTATGAACAAGAAATTTAGAGCCTAATAGGAAAAGGAAACAGAATTTATAGTCTGATCTGAAAGAAAGATGTTTTTTAGAAAAATAACTACTTTGAGTGAAGGGAAAGTAGGGTGTGTGTGTGTGCATGTGTGTGTGTGTGTGCATGCTTGTACAAACACATGTACATACATACATCTGTTTATCTTTTGAGTGAGAAGGAGATTTTGCAGATTTTTAAAAATTTGAAGTATACCACACATACCTAAAATTGCACAAATCCAAAGTGTGCAGCTCAGTGAATTTATTTAAATGGATTCTATCTGTGACCAGCACTTAGATGAAGTTACAGAATTTTACTAACACCCAAGAAGCCTTCCCTAGTCTGTGCTTTGGCAAGGGGAAGGAGGTATATCCAACAACTTTTTTTTTTTTTTCCATTTCAGAGTCTGCTCACTGAGTACTTTCTTAAGTCGTGAGTCACCCTGAGACCATTATTAGTCAGCCTTCAAAAATAGTTCCTGAGACAAGCTTCCCACCACCACCAAGTTGAAATCAGTGATGAAAGTCTCAGTGAACCAGAGCAAAAAATTTCAGCTGTCAAATTAATAGCCAGAAAGCATTTTTTTTTTCTTCACAAAAGATTCATCTAACTCGTGGAAATCAGAAGGAAAGAAAAATCCATTAGGTCATCAGGTGAAGGATTATTTCTTCTAATATAGTTCCTAGGTCTTTCTCTAGTTTAATGAGTTCAGCTGTTTTTATTCAAAATCGAGCCATACACATAAAGCAAATCTAATGCACTCTTTCTTCCAGGAGTAGCGAGGAAGCAGGCCCAGAACCGGTGAGACACTGTGACCCCGTAATGTTGCATCAAAGCCTGTGGCGTGGTATGAGAAATGAAGGGAGACAAAGCACCTTTTATTTTGTGTTTAGAAAGCTCGGGACAGCTAACTGACCCAAAGGCAGGACTCCCGAGTACAGGCGCACAGAGCCTTCTTCATCAAGGTGTGGGAGTGCGGACCCATCCTGCTTAAGTCTTCTTGAGTGCTGATATCAATTAGGAATGCAAAGAGTGGGTGGAATCTTCCTTTAATCTTTTGAAAAGCTTCAGCACAGTTCAAACAAAGGGAGCAAAAGTAAGAGTCAGCCTGCAGTAGGCAAAGAACTCAGGCCGGGACCTCTTGAATCATCTATTTGATGTTGTTTTTCCGCAGAATCTAAGAGGGAGAAGGCAGCTTCAGTTACAGACTTCGCCTTGCAGATTTCAGTAGTCCCCATTTCACGACTTTGCCAAAGAACCTGAAACCCTGTGTGCTCACAAAAGTAAAACTAGCAGCTTTTGTTTTGTTTTATAGAAACCCGCGGTTTATTTTGTTTTCTTTGCACCACCATGACATCTATCACAAATCTTAGGACATGGTAAATGTTTGGCAACTGATTGAATGCCTGTGTGCAACTTCATCCCGAAAGTCATGAGGGGAAAACGTACGGGGAAGAGGAGTGACATGGTCAGATTTGTCAGGTAGGAAGATCCTCCTAGCAATGGTGCAGAGTGTGTGTCAGAAAGGGACAGGACTGGAAATGAGATAGTTCACTGGGAGATACAAGTAACCTGGACAGTAAATGCTCCCCTGACGTACAGAGGGCACCTGTTAAAGTAGGAGCAGATCTGGCAATTGATAAAATGGGGAGGGACAGGGAAAATAGGAGGATCCGAATTCTAGTTCGGTCTTCAGAGGGCTGATGGGTCCAGCTGAGATGCAGGGTACAGTGAGATGCAGGAGGAAGAGCAGATTTACTGTCAGAAATAATGTTCACTGTAACCTTTTGGGCTTGAAGTGCTTTCAAGATGCCCGATTTACGATCAGTAGAGTAGCAATGGTTATTAAAGCCATAGATTTTGAGGTTTTTTTCCACGGGAAGGGAGACATTAGCATGAAAATGGAGCGCTGTGGACAGAGCCACTAGGACAGGAGATATTTAGAGGTCAAGCAGAGGACAAGATTGACTGCAACACCCTAGCAGAATTGCCTCCCAAGAACCTCTGGTGTCCATTCTGTAATACCTGGACCCAAAGCTGGCCAAGGTCCCGGGACCTGAGCGTCCCTGCTGCCATAGAGAGAAATAAGCCCAGGTTCTCTTCTCCACAGGAGGAACTGTAGTGTTGTTCACAGGCCCAGTCTTAGTCACTTTCTCATTGCTGAGAACAATGCCTGACTCCCACAACTTAAAGGAGGAGAGGTTTATTTGGGCTCAGAATTAAAGCTCCTGGTCAGGTGGCTCCCAGGCAGAAACAGCATGAGGGAAAGGTCTGCTCACAGGAAAGCAGCTCACCTCATGGCAGCCAGGAAGTAGAGATGGAAGGGAACTGGGGAGGGAAAGGTGCCCTGCGGGGGTCACAGCCCCAGTGACCCACCTCCAACCAGGTCCCACCTCCTAACATCAAGTCAGCCGCAACACCCCAAGATCCAATGTCCTTCTAAATGTGAGACTTTGGAGGGTATTTCAGATCCAAATGGTAACAGGCCCCAAGTTCTCCAGATCAAGCTGCTAGCCTATTAATTAAACATGGCTTAAGGTGTATGCAAGCCCTAAAAATTCCACCTTTTTTTTTTTTCCTTTATGCAACTTGACTTTGCTTTGGGTATGAGATAGAATTATAAAGAAAACTGGTTTTCAAAATACATGGCTACTGAGCTGGGCATAGTGGTGCATGCCTGTAATCCCAGCACTTGGGAGGCTGAGGCAGGAGGATCACTGTGAATTCGAGACCAGCCTGGGCTACATAGTGAGTTTCAGGTCAGTCTCAACTGCACAGTGAGACTCTGTCTCAAAAAATCCCCAAAACAAAATAAAACAAAACATGGCTACCCATGTTTATAGCAGCACAATTCATAATAACTAAATCTTAGAAGCAGCCTTTATGTCCATCAACAGACAAATGGATAAAGAAAAGTGGAAAAGTGGTATTTACACACAATATAGTACTACTTTTTCATAAATAAAGATAAACTTGAGTCATTTGTTGGAAAATGGGTGTACTTGGAGACCATAATGTTAAGTAGAGTTAATCAGACACGTGATCTTAAATATTGCATGTCTTCTCTTATAGGAGAAACACAAAATATAAATAAAGAGCAAAACAAAAGATAGATAACGGGGGAAAAAGCCAGAAGAACATTTTCCAGGACATTTGCTTTGGGAGACTATGGCTTTATCCTTTCAGAGATGTTACTGCACGGGGCATTCTTAAAACTTCTATTTCAGAATTTATCTTAGAGTTCAAGAAAGTAAAAAAAAAAAAAAAATCCATGTATTTTAAAGGCAAATTTGAGTTCTGAGAACAGCCCGGGTTGTCACTGTGAAGCTTTAAGAAAAAGGTAAATGTAATTACTGCATTAATGTTTTATATTGTGTACTTGTTGAAGTGATAATATTTTGTGTATGACAGGTTAAATAGAATGTATTTTAAGAATTAATTTCACCTATCCTTTCTTTTACTTTTTAATGTGTCTGCTACAATAATTAAAATCAGATGTGTTTTGTTCATTGTATATAACTATTGTGCAGTGCTAGTCTATACAGTTCTACTGTATATAAGAAAATATTTATATAAAGAAATACCTAGAAAATATCTTTTATATTTATCAATAGAGGCTTTGCAAAAAATGAAACATGTTTGTCCATAGAACTGAGTCCTATGTGCACTGAAATAATGAGGTAAATATGTACTAAGATGAGGAATTCTTAACTGCGTATTGTTAAGCAAAAATACTACTACTAATAATAATAAGGTACAAAACAGATGCATAATAAGAAAATGTTTGTTTTCAGTGTATATGGAACAGGCTTTGAATGCATTCTGCAATGTGCTTATGTCTATGAATATTCCTGGAAGGATGCATAAAAAATTATGCTTAGTTACTGTCCTAGAATGAAAATTGTGACTCATTATTGAGGGTGAGCAAAGACTTACTTTTTTTTTTTTTTTTTTTTTTTTGGTACCAGGGATTGAATTCGGGACCTTACGCTTGTGAGGCAGGAGGCAGAACCACTGAGCTAAATCCCTGGCCCAGTAAAGACTTAGTTTTAACTGGACCTTCTTTGAATCATTTAAAACATTTCACAACATGTATTCATTACTTATTCAGGAAATATATTATTTACAGAGTTTTTATAATTTTTAAAAAATCCTTAAAATGAATTCCCCAAGGTCAGTTATGACAAGATAAAACTTCATGTTTATGTGGGCTGGGTGACAGATGTTTAAAAACCAGTGTCCTACTCACAGTAAGCTTCTAGTTGCTATCTAGCCTTCTTGTCACCCCACACGGTAGACTCTTTCCCTGTGTTTCAAGGATACCATGGAAGTGTCACAATTGTTATGATTCTAAAGATGTCCAATGTAAACAGGATGGACTGTCCTTGATCTTGTGACATGCCCTAGAAGTTATTTCCCCCCAATAAATCCCAGAAACTTGTTTATTCCCATATTTCTTTTATTAGAATAAAAGGCAGCTTATATAATGTATAGCTTCCTAGTCAGAATAATATTGTAGGCTGTCCACAGACTTTACTACTCTATTAAAGACTAAAGCGAACTTTTGCAGTTATTACATCCTCCGCACTAAAATCTTCACTCATCTGTCAGCTTCTTGATTCTTCGGCATTTAAAACATGCTCTTTCATTTCTGTATCAGAAACTCCGTGTGCCTCCCTAACCTCTTTGTCTACTTCGATCACCTCTTCCCACTTTCATGAAGTTTGTTGATTGATTGCTTCTCACGGGGCATGTCTGGCTCTCCGGCCTTTGTCTAGATTAGAAACAGTGGAGACATCCTTCAGAAAGCACACAGTGCTAAATCAATTGCATTTGCTCATAAAATTCTTTTGTTTTTTGAAACAAATGTCTCTTGGTTCGGAGTCCTTATTTCATTCCCATTGCTTCTGTCTGTGTCGGGCCTCTCTTCGTCTTGTCTGGAGTACGTCAATTAGCTCTTAACTAGTCCGCACTTTTCCAGACTCCCCACTGGCAATCCATTTTCCACTTTATTGCTAAATTCTAAAAGCGTATTCTAAAAAAGAAAAAAAAAAAAACACCAGATTCACGCATGCTTCATTTGTCAGACGTTCATTACACATGTCTCTTGTGTCAGGCATCGTGGTGAGATCTGGAGATCCCTAGATTTATTTTTCATGAACAGTGCTGTATTCCTGGAGTCTAAAGTGCAGGGGAGGAGGTCAGAAAGTGGCCCCGTGATCTGTAGTCCACGACTGTGTGATGCTGTAGCCACACGCAGAGGGAGGGAAGGGTCTCAGACCCTGCAGTTTTGTCCAGCTGGGCAGAGCCAGGTGTGAGATGTAAGTACAGGTGGCAGAAGTGACAAGGCTGGACAGTGTGCTGGAAGGTACGGTGGTCGGTCAGGTTTCAGAGGAGACTTGGGAAAGTCTGCATGAGGAGACGGTGGGTGAAGAGCCCAGCAGCCCCGCGGACTCTGGACTTTATTCTGAAGGCACAGGTTTTAAGACAAGCAGTCATGTGCCATGTGATCAGATTCACATCTTCTGAAAGAGCATCATTAGGAGTCTAGGGGGCCGGAGGTTTTCGTCCTGGAGCCTGGAGAGAAAATTAGGAGGACAGACACTTTCACCCGTGCAGCCCAAAGTGGAGGTTGATCCAGATGAGATAAGAACGGTGGTGCTGGGGAGGAGTGGGCCGATCTGAGAGATAACTGGCAATAAAACTGACACGATTGGCTGATTTTCTGAATGGACATTTGTGACAAAGGAAAACGCTTAGAACCGATTTGCAGATGTCTGAATTGTGCCCTTCAGATGCTATGAGGAAAGAGGGAAGGGGGAATGTTTCGGCTCAGAGAAAATGATGGCAGTTGGGTGCTTGGGCCTGCGCTCACATGAGAAATGTGGCCGGAGACATTCACTGTTTATTCATTTGCTCACTGTGCAGGTGGGCATTGGGCACCCATTTCCTGACAGGCACTGCTGTTCCAAGCATTGAGGATATCGTGCAAAACAGACAGGGCAAATTCCTGTTCTTGTGGCTCCAGGGAAGAAACCAAAGTGAGTTCATGCAGAATGTCTGAGAGGCGTGTGTTCTGAAGACAACAGTGAGTGAGGAGACAGAGTAGAATGGAGAGTGGGCGGTACTTTAGATAAGGTAGTCCAGGGAAAAGCATCTTCAAAGATGAGCCCTGAGTGCAAGCCTGAAGGAAACCACAGGAAATGTCAAAGGAGGATGGGCAGGGAAGAGCCGTGCAGAGCAGCAGGCTCCCTGAGGGACGAGCCGCAGGGAAGATAAGTGGGCAAGACGTTCACTTAATGGGACCCCTAACAGCACCTGAAAGCCTTCGCAGTAGACCCCTTTTCCCATAGTCTCATTTTCCACGGTCTCAGCTACCTAAGGTCAATTGTAGCCCAACAATAATAAAGGAATAATGATTTCATAAGTTTTAAATTACTCAACTCATAAGTTTTAAATTGTGCTTTATCCTGACATGCATGAGGTAACCTTGTCTTGTCAGGAGCATACCTCATCCCTTTGGCCAGTGTACCACACCGTATCTGCTACTCACTTGTACATCACTGGGGTGCCTTTGGATGACCAGCTTTAGTATTGCAGTATTTGTGCTCAAGAAACGGCTGTTTTACTTGACAATGGACCCAAAGTGCAGAAGAACTGATGCTGTCAATTTGAATATGCCAAAAAGAAGCTATCCTCAGATTGCTTTCTTTAAGTGTCATCTCATCATCAGAAGAAAGGTAAATTACAATAAGATATTTTGAGAGAGATTATGGTCACATAGCTATTAGAACATGTTGCTCTAATTGATCTATTTTACCATTTTGTTGGTCATCTCTTCTAGTGTTTAATTTATAACCCAAACTCTATCCTAGGTATGTATGCATAGGAAAAACAGGATATACAGGGTTTGGCACTAATTTTGGTTTCAAGCACCCATTAGAGTCTTGAAATGTATCCTGCAGATTGAGTATATGTCAACTTGCTTCCTTTTAAAAATCATCCTAGGTCCTTAGGCAGCAATAATTCCTTCCTCCGTCCAATTCCCCAGCACTTGCTTAGTATCATACTACTTTGTATCACTAGTGTTTGTTACTATGTTGTAATCCTTTTCAGGGTAGGAAGAAGTTCCTCCTGGTGATTGCAGTACCCACCATAGTTTGCAGCAACATCGGACTGGTTATTCCTTAGGCCCCGCACCCACCTGTTATTCTGGAATTTTCCTTCACCTACATCCTGCACAGGTTGCATGCCATCTTTGTCTCTTGTGGCTTACTCCTTTGCTTTGGTGAATTACCTTGTCAAGTACGATGCACGTGTGGAAACTTTAGAGATTTCATGCTTTTCTTCAAGACATGAGTGCTAAGAGGGCTACATATTCTAAGGCAGTAATCGTTTCTGTTTGGAAATATAGGAGCATTGTTTTATCGCATTGTAAATTCTAATGTTACTATTAAGAACATGAAAACCATTTTCCTTAAAACTTGTTTACTAGCAGCTTCTTAATTTTTTATTAACTCTAAATGTCCCTTATTTTTAAAAATCTTTATTAAATTTATCGGTACCTTTTAGGTTTACAATACATTCATCATTGGGATCTTGGACCTTTACACAACTCATCCTGGTTCTTATTTTCCCCATTCCCCAGTCCTCCCTTCAGTCCCTCCACCTTTCCCTGTTTACAAAGACATTGTTCCCATGTTTTTCCTTTTCACATATTTTTTCTTTTCCCTTTTTACCTTTCCCCTAACCTTCCCACTTCCTCTACTCTTTTAGACTTTTCTTCCTATTAAACAATATCAATTATACATTTAATCCTTATTTACACTTTTACTTTTTCACACCAGAGAAACTATTTGGTATTTACACGTGTGACTTATTAATTCCACTTAAGAGTTTGGCCTCAATGTGCATCCACTTAGCTATAGTTTCTCATCCTTTATGGCTGAGTAGTACTCCATTTTTTTTAAATCATATCTTCTTTATCCATTCTACAGTTGATGGACAATTGAGCTGTTTCCAAATTTTAGCTATTACTAACTGTGCAGCTATAAACATAGGTGAGTATATATTGCTGTGGTAGGATTCTTTTAATTCTTTTGGGAAGATACCCAGCAGAGGAATAGCTGGGTCAAATGGGACTTCTAATCCTAGTTGTTTGAGGTATCTCTATATTGATTTCCACAGTGGTTGCACCAGTCTACACTCCCACCTACAATGAAAAAGTGTTCCTATTTCCACACAACTCCACCAGCATTTGTTATTGGTTGATTTCTTGATAGCAGCCATTCTTACTGAGGTGAGATGGAATCTCCGTGATGTTTTCATCTGCATCTCTTGAATGACCAGTGATGTGGAACATTTTTTCTTATGATTATTTGCTGCTTTTACTTCTTTGTCTGAGAAATGTTTGTTCATTTCAGATGCCCATTTTTTAATTGGGTCTTTATATTTGAGGTGGGGGGGTCTGATTTTTTTTTTTGAGTTCTTTATATATTCTAGATAGTAGACCTTTTTCTGAGGAAGAGCTGGTAACATTTTTTCACACATTGTGGGTTGTCTTTTAGCTCTACTTGTGATTTCTCTGGCAGTGCAGAAGCTTTTTAATTTTTGAAAAAGTTTAAAATCTTTTCTTTCAAGCCAGAATTCTAAAATTTGATAATGATGCATTTTGATGTGTCATTCCTTTCCAGAACTAACCTTGTTTTTCTTCTGTAAGTGAGGAACCTCACTTTATGTCCTAACCATCAGGAGCTCTTTGTTCCTGAGAATTTTTTTCTGGTGCTATGGATAATCAAATCTAGGGCCTTGCCCATATCAGGCAAGCATTTTATATTGTGCCACACCTCATGTCCTTCTAAGATTTTTTAAAAAAATATAAAATGTATTGATACATAGCATACAAACAAGGAACTGCATCATTTAAAGTATACCCTTCAGTAAATTTTGGCAGATGTGTTGAAATCTCCATAACAATAATATTTTCATTGCTACCAATTCTTTCTTTGACTCCTTTGTGGTCCATTCCTCCACCTAGGCAAGTGCTTCTCTGCTTTCTGTCACTTGGATATTTTGCATCACATCTAGATTGGTATGAGCTGTGGGTCCTCTAGCTTTATCATCTCTTGAAAACTATTTTGTGTAGGACATTCACATTCCAGTAGACATGTTTGAACTAGCTGGTCATTTTGCACCACCCTCCCACATACATGGAGCCTTGTGGAATTTTGGAAAAATTAAGCTGAATATACAGATTAATCTGGAAAAACAATGGACATTCTAGCAATACTGAATCTTCATGGATACTTGGATATGACATAGCTCTATAATTATTTAGTCTTTAAATTTTCACAGGCATGGTTTATAGTTTTCAACTGCAAATATTTTATCAGTTATATGTAAATATTTTATGATTTTTGGATGCTACTGGAAATGGAGGTGTACTTTTTATTTCATTTTTTCCATTCTTCATTGCTAGCATATAGAAATACGATTCTATTTTCGTATATTGACCTCGCACAGGCCTTGCAAAATTTATTGTCTGTAGGAGCTTTTTCCCCTGGATTCCTTGTGATTTTCCAGCACACAATTATATAGTCTGCAAATAGTTTTTTTTGAGACAGGGTCTCATTATGTAGTTGAGACTGACCTGGAACTCACTCTGTAGCCCAGGCTGGTCTTGAACTCACAGTAATCCTCCTGCCTCAGCCTCCCGAGTGCTGGAATTACAGGCATGCGCCACTGCGCCCGGCCTGCAAATAAAGTTTTACTTTTTCCGTTCTATTCTGTATGCTTTTTTATTCCTCTTCTCCTTTTTCTCCTCCTTTTCCTCCTCCTCTGGTCGTACTGCATTGCCTAAGACCTCCAGAATAATATTAAATTGTTGCAGTAATGGGGGGAATCTTTGTGCTATTCTCAGTCTTAGAAGGAAGACATTCAGTCTTTGACCACTCAGGAGTTATTTGTGGGCTTTTCATGAGTGCCTACGTCAAGGCAGCTTTCTGTTGCTGTGACAAAATTCTTGAGATAACTAAGAAAGGGAAAGACTTATTTGAGCTTCCGGTTTCAGAAATGCTAGTCCATGGTCACTTGTTCTCATTGCTTTGGGCCTGTGGTGAAGTGGAACATGTGGTAGGAAGTGTGCGGTGGAGCAAAGCTCTTTGCATCTGCTGGGAAGCAGGAAGAGAGACAGGAAGCAGCCAGGGTTCCACATCCCCTTCCAGGGCGCATGCGCAGGGACCGCCTTCCTCCAGTCAGGCTCCAGCTCCTAAAGTTCCCACCACTTCCCAATAGTCCTCTCAGCTGAGGACCAGGCCTGTAGCGCGAGTGGTGTGAGACACTTACGATCCAACTGGACCAGTGTCCTTGAACCAACTGAAGGTGTTGCCTGTCTTTTTTTTTTTTTAATCTAAGTTGCTGAGCAATTTTAATCATGGATAGATATTTTAAATATTTTTGCTTCATCTATTTTCTTCTCTATATAGTGAATTATGGCATTGATTTTTGAATATTAAATCAACTTTGTATTTCTGGAACAAATCTTACTTGGTTGTGATATGTGAACTTTTATATATTACTGGATTTGCATAATATATGAAAATATACGTAGTTGTCATAAGGGATAAAAATCTATAGTTATTTCTTGTAATGTCTGTCTAGGTTTAGTATCAGAGCAATACTGTTGCTAAAAACTGAATTTAAAGGACTATTACCTCATCTCTTACAAAGTTTGTATTGGATTGATAGTACTTTGTCTTTATGTGTTTCACAGAATTCAGCCGTGAAGCCATCTAACCTTATGGTTGGATTTAATTAATTATGAATCCAGTTTCTATAGTATATTGCTACTTAATTATCTCTTGTTTCTTTGTATTAGTTTTAATGTTTATGTCTTGCGAGTTACTTGACCAATTTATTTAAATTACCCAATTTGTTGGTATAGAGTTGTTCAGAGTATTACCTTACCTTTCTGAATGATCTTTGGATCTGTACTGATGGTCTCTCAATCACAATATTGGTAATTCATGTTTTCTCTTCTAGCTAGGGGTTTGTCAATTTTATTAAGCATTTCAAAGAATTAGCTTTTGGTTTCATTGGTTTTCCTCTGTTATCTGTTTTCCATTTCATTGTTTTGCACTCTAATCTTTACTTGGTGTCTAATTTGTTCTTTTTTTCTGCACCCTTCAGAGACAACAAAGAGCATTATTTAGGTCCTTTCTTTCATAATTTAAACTCATTAGTTCTCTCTAAATGCTATTTAAGCTGTTTATGTCAGGATTTTCCTTTATTTGGTCTACCTAAATTTTATATGTTGTAGTTATTATTCAGTTATTTTCTCATATTTTTAGGGATTTAATTTCTTCTTTGACCTATGAGTTGTTTAAAAGTAAAGTTGCTTAATTTTCAGATGTTTGGAGGCTTTCTTGATGCTTTATTGTTTTCTATTTATATTCAGTACTATTGAGATCAGAGACTATGCTTTGCAAGTTTTATTCTTTTAAGATACATTGAGACTCATTTAATGGCCTACCATATAGTTTATCTTTGTAAATGCTCCATCTGTGTTGGAATAGAATGTTTATCTTGTAACAGTTGTGGGTAGAGAGTTCTATGAACATCAGAGTGGATGGGTGATAATATCCCGATGTTTCATATCTTTTTTTTTTCACTGAGGCCTGTAGTATTTTATTACAGTAAACAAAGACAAATACTTTTACAGTATTATTTTCCAAGTCATGTTCAATGAGTGGTCAAAGCAATTCAAAACCATAACATAACTCACAATAGGATGCTTTAAACAATTTATTTAGCTGTAAGGCCACTCACTGCCCTTCATTTATTCTGATACATTTTCCCCCCATGGCGATTTAGAGGCTCTTCAACCCAATATGAATGAATATTTCAGAAATATTTGCCCATATTTGGGTACACACCTGCACGACACCTCACACCTTTAGCAGGGAAAGACATTAACAAGTGAAGACCTGACACCACTAACTAGGTGGAGCGAGAATGTGAGCCAAATACTCGTTCTCTGAGGTGAGGGCAGCACGCACCTGTCCGATTGAGATAGGACACTTTTTACATTTTTAAGCAGGGTCAAGAACCACTATTAGGTGCTGACTAGCAGAGCTTCGTCCCAAGCTTATGCCATGACCACTGGTTCTCACAAAGTGTGCTTCTCTGACCCAGATGGGCTGATGCTTCAGCTGAATCCAGGTACCATCTCTTTGGCGCCTTTCTTTTCTAATCATTTTCCTTGATGCATTTCACGAAGCTATCTTGACTCTCAGAGGGCTTATGCTCAATACACACATTAGTTTTCTTGGCAAGTATCTTGCCCTTAACTCGCTCATTTACAACAGTGCCAACAGTGTGCTGAAAAACATGACAGACTCTTCCAGTTTTACCATGGTGACATTTGGGTAGCATCGCTTTTTGAACAGTACCCATTCCCTTGATGTCTACTGTGTCACCCTTTTTATAGATTCCTATATACGTAGACTAAGGAACAACCCCATGTTTTCTAAAAGGTTCCTCTCTTCTTTCCCTTTGCATGTGTCATTTTGGTAAATTACTAGAAGATAGTGGTTCTGGCCGGAAGCCCAAATATTGCACATCTTCACTGATTTTTTTTTTCTTATCTGAATGTTCTATCAACTACTGAGAGAATTCTGTTAAAATATCCAATAACAATTAAGGATATGTTTCCCCCCGTTCATTCTGATATTTTTCTTCACACACTTAAAAATCCATTACTGTTCACACATACAGTTATAATTGATACAGCTTCTGGATTTATTCCTTTATTGTTATGAAGCATCTCTGTTTTCTAGAATAGTCCTTGTCTTGGTGTCTACATTTGGAAAATTGTATATATTTCTATAATTCCAGGATTACCAAGTATGCATCCAACATTTGGCTCCCACTGCTTGTACTACGTTACACAGGACTGAGGTAACAGTATGCTCCTAGGCACAGAGAGGACGAGAAGAGTGTTGGGCTGGTCCGACCATAAGGCTATGGCACCAGCAGGGCGGGACAAGTGGGAGTTACGATGGACTTCACACTTTCATCCTAAAGTGTAAGGGGATGGAATATGGATGGTCTTTATAGTCTTTGGTTCTGGGCTTGATTCCCCTCTTTGCTACTTATTAACTGTGTAGTCTGGGGCAAGTTATTTAACCTCTGTTTTACCATATATGAAATAGGGACACATAATAGTACAAACCGGATGTATTTTTAGAAAGATGAAAATTTACATATGTAAAGTACATACACACGTCTATACACTCATATATAGTGTTTAGCAAAGTATGTGTTCAACAAATATACTTTATATAGTATGCATTATATTTTGTTCTATCACTTTTTTTCATGTAGGCTAGCCTCAATTTTCCTGTAGCTTTCAGCTTTGAGATACTTATTGTTCGTGTTTGGTTCTTTTCCTTATTTGCCTGTTCTCCCTGACCCTGCTTCCTTTCTTAGTTCTCAACTTTTGGGGCCCCATCCCTGCCGAAATTAGATTTAATAAATACCAAGAACTGGAAACAAAATAGTTTCTGCTTGCTCTACTGATTCTTTTGCCATTCCCCATCAACCTCCAGAACATGACTAGAACTTTAATTTCTCCTCTGAAAAAAAACTAGAGTTGCCAGGTTTCCAGTTGTTTGCTAGGTGAATATGAGTAACTTTCGTTTATGTACCTAGTTTATAAGCATATCCTGCGTGTACTTGCGATGAAAGAACACTTTGCAGATAAAAAAAAAAATGCCCTATAAATATTCTTGGCAAAAATCGTCAAGAGAGTTAAAAAAAAAGTCTATTGGAACAGGCATTTGAAAACTCAATCCAGCAACTCCCTTCCCACCCCGGGAAGCATTCTCTTCAAAAGAATTCCCAGCCAAATGGTGTTTGATGTTCCTGACCCCAAAGCATGATGTGAAAGATCAGAGGTTTAGAGAATGGTTAGCCTAGGCGCTTACTCTCAGTTACTCTCAATCTTGGAGTTTTCTTGGTTTGTTAAATTCTATGCACCTATTATCCGCTCTCCGAGGCTTCCTCTTTAAAGAAGGCTTTCTTGAACCCACATCCACTTGAATTTCCCTTATTACAGACTTTCTCAGGTACCGGACACCAGGCCAGGGACCAGAGCGTTCACCGTACCGTTGTACCCCGCATCCCCAACACATCACTGAATATAGACCCAGAGTCTAACCTAGCTCCTGGGACACTGTAGGCAGTCAAATGAATGACAAAAAACGGCCCGAACCCGATCCCTAGGGCCCGGAGGGGGATCCCCTTGTTCTCAGTCGCCAGCCCAGCGCCCCGTAGCTCCCGGCCGCGCCTACCGTGACGTCACGTGGGCGGGACTTCCGGCCGCCGAAGTTTAACAGTCCAGGCGGGAGC